AGAACACTCTTACTTCACAACGTTGTCCATAGCTTGTCACGATCCACACAATCAAAAGTCTATGCATAGTCAATAAAACTCAAGTAAATATCTTTCTAGTATTCTCTGCTTTCAGCCAAGATCCATTGGATGTCAGTACTGATATCCCTCATTCCATGTCGTCTTCTGAAACCAGCTTGGCGCTCTGGAAGTTCTCTGTCAATGTATGGTTGCAGCCATTTCTGTAGTACTTTTAGTAGAACTTTACTCACATGGGATATCAATGATATTGTATGATGATTTCTGCATTCCGTTCAGTCATATCTCTTTGGAATGGGCACAAACACAGATCTCTTCCAGTCAGTTGGCCAGGTAGTTGTCTTCCAAATTTCAGCACTGGATTGGACAATATCTATTGGGCTCCACAGGGTTTTCATTGACTGTTGTAGACTTCTAGACCTTTCTTCTTAGTCTGGCTTAGTCTGTAAACTCCATTGGAATCTGTCCATGATGGCCGACTCTGCTGGTATCTGAAATGCTGGTACCATAGTTTCCAACATCACAGAAGCACTCCAGCCATTACTGTGTGACAAACGGACAGATGAGTGGTGGCTCTTCCTTCTTACAAAGATAGCGTTATGAAGAAGAAAGCATTCTCATGTAAATACTAGATCAGCTACCTTACTATTGAAGTACATACTTGAGAGATTGCATTCTTCTTTTATCTGCTCCTCATAATTATACCGTCTATTTCAGTCACAATTCCTCCACATTTATTTGTTATAACCATCCTGTGTAAAACCAACTTTCTGTTATCAAACCTGGTTAAGAAATGGGGATTTAAAATTTGTTTTATTGTTGTAAAAAATACAACAAACCAGTTGCCAGTTCAACGCTTTTTACATGTACAATTCCATGACACTGTTATATTTATCATGGTGTACAACCATCACCACTATAAAACAGGAAAAAATTTAACCCAATATTTAAATGGGGTTACCACAGCACAAAACAACAGCAACAACCATGCATACATACCACATACGAGATCGCTAAGTTTTGAAAAAATTTACAATGTATTAAAGCCAAGAAGAAGGCTGGAGCCTTTCTGCGACTGTCATAAAATAGTTTTGAGTCTGTGTGGTGATGTGGGTTAATGCGCTGGATGGCTGAGTTGGTTTGCACCACAAGGTCGGCGGTTCAAGCTCACCAGCTGCTTCTTGGAAAACCTAAGCAGGGTCTCTATGGGTTGGAACTGACTCGATGGCACTTAATAACAACAACAACAACGGTACCTGCCAGATTCAATGTTAAAAATCTGGCCTGATATTTGTACCGGAGGAGTGAAAATGCATCTTTTTCGGATATTTACGTACTTCCTGAATATTATCTCTTCCTTCTCCACACCCCAGGAGCTGGGGACGATCACAAAACACCATCATCACTAGCCCCATCTTGAACTTGGGGAGCAGGGAAGCCAGAATAGCATTGGGGTGGCTGAACACAGGTCAAGAAATGGGGTTTTAATGATAAGGTAAAAAGAAAGAGATGGAAAAAGTTGCCAGATCCCTTTTCCCAGTTCAGTCCTACTGGCCAAAGCCATGCATTATCTCAATCCTATCCCACACCCAGCAGTGAAAGCCAGAGAAAGAAAATTCAAAACAGACTAAAGAATGGGGAATGAAGGAGGAAAGAGGGAGGGAAGAGAAGGCAGGAAAAGAAGATGGGTGGCGGCGGAGAAGGAGGGGAAGTGGAAAGGAGGTTCCTTTTGACTCCTCGGAGCTCTGCAGCCCTTGGCTTGTACTGAAGGTGAAGTCTCTTACCGAATCTGCAGCTTGCTCTGCAGCTCCAGCAGAATCTCTGCGGACTGTCTGTGATAGTCTAACGCTGCCTCTATAAACACGGCCAACTGGCTGACTTGTTCTACCTGCAGCAGAAGTGGAAAATTACTCCATGGAGGCCACAGCCTAAGTAATGTTCAGAGAAAGAGGAGATCAGTAACCAAGACCCCGTGGCAGGGAAGCCTGAGGCGGTCTCGGCTCTGGTCAATTTCATTCCATTTCATCTCGCAGCTCCGCATAATGATCCTACAGGTCATGGTATAGAATTGTACGTGCTGGAAGAACGTATTCACATTTATTTGTGATTAGGAATTTGATTTGACTCAATAATACGCCTGCCTTTCCAATTAGATGATAGTCTGAGGAGATTTTTATGCTGTAAGGTTCATGGATCTGAAAAAATTGGAGAAATCAAGTGTTTCCAATTGCAAGTGGGGCCAATATTTAGTAAATTAACTGTTTACTTAGAAAGATGTCTCTATGGGCACTGTCTAGCTAAGCCAAGTAAAGAAATAAAGTAAATGAAGCTATTCTCAGGTAAGGGTAGGGAACCAGGGAGTAACACATGCCCAAGGACAAAGCTTCACCAATGCCCTAATTATTTTTATTGTTATATTGTTTATTTAAAACACAGAGCCAAAAGGAATGAACTATAAAGACTCTGGAGTCCTGGTGTGGCGCTGTGGGTTAATGCGCCAGACTGCAAAGTCGTTTCAACTGCAAGGTCGGTGGTTCAAGCTCACCAGAAAACCCTATACAGGGTCACTATGGGTTGGAACTGACTCGAGGGCCGTTAACAACAACCACAACACAAAGACTCTGGCATCTTCCATTCCGTAAATCAAGACAATCACTAAATTAACTGACCAACTTATGGTGAATATAAAAAATTCTGAGAGAAGCTATATAACACAGCTGTTCTGGGTCTGCAGTTAATGTGCTCAGCTGCTAACCAGAGGTTGGAGGTTTAAGTCCAGCCAGGAGCAGCTCAGAGAAAAGACTTGGTGATCTGCTTCTGACAAACCAGCCACTGAATACTCTGTGGAGCACAGGCCTACTCTGACACATATGACACATTCATGGCTCACCATGAATCAACTAGATGGAAACTGATTACTGGCTATGCCATGTAAGGAGCAAAAAAAAAAAACAGAGAGAACGTTTGAAAACGCATAATCTGAGGAAGAGCCCAACAACACTTATTTCTTAAGACTCCAGAGGCAAGACTGCTAGAGAGGGGATGGCTGCCCAGTAGCAATTCCTCCCATGAATCCCAGATCTGGACAAAGATACAAGTCAAAATCAACTGTTGCCCTTCCAAGGTTTTCCAGAGCCTTTATGTTGTTATTGTTGCTAAGTGACATTGAGTTGGTGTCAACTCAGCAACTCTTATGTTGGGTTTCCAAGGAGTGGCTGGTGGGTTTTAACAGCCGACCTTTCAGTTAGCAGTCCAGTGCTTACCCTACAGCATTAGACCAGGACGCCTTTCTTATTTCATTCTGTAATTAGCTTTGTTGTTAAGTGTCATTGAGTCTGTTTTGACTCATAGCAACCCTGTATAGCATTTCTGAGGAGCGACTAGTGGGTTTGAACCACTGAACTTGTGGTTCAGTGCTGATCCTACAGCGTCACACCACGACTCCTTCAGGACAACTTTATGGGGAGAAAAAAATCTGTCTTGCTTATTTGCTCATACAGTCTCATCCTGCCTGGATTTGTTTGCTTTCAAAAACCAAAGCTGTTTTTGTTGTTGTAAACCATGCTTCATGGCCTATCCTTTCCTTTCCCTTCCCTATTTATACTACTTTAAATATGGGTTCAGTATGCATTTAAGATATACATGGCATTTCATTTGTGCCAAACTGGGATGAGCATCTCAACAATGAAATCCCATCAAACTACATTTACTTTACCAGCTCTGTGGCTGGAAAAACAGACCAACATGCCTTAGCCTTAAACTTTCAGACTCAATAAACAAAGCAAAGACAGCCTGGCCCCTACAAAATACTATGGATTTCTTAAGTTTCACCTCTTTGGCTTTTACGCATTCCTTTCAACAAACCCAGTTCCATGCCTAACATGATCATAGTAGAATTTGCTACAGAAAGAATTTTTCATCCTTGGTGAAATCTGTGCCAAAACGGGTAAAATCTCTGTCTTTACTAAAGCTAATCTCCCTTGTTTTATTTTAATATACACTTTGAAAGATGGTAGACATATTACAAGTATAATTTTTAAAGAAACAATGAAGAATCACTAAATAAACATTCCTTGGAACGTATGTGGGGTGGCGGCGTTCCTCAGCTATCCTTTCTGGTGACTAGGATTATATAACCTTGAGCCTCCTTCTCGACTTTTCCATTTGATGGTTGACTTTTGGAGGAACATGAGACCCTGAAAGGTTGGGGGACAACAGCAGTCCTGGTAGTTTCTTGATGTAAGTTCTGAAGAGGGGCAAGCCGCTAAGCTGTGAGCTTCCCTTGTTGACAGTGAACACAAGTGGTGGCCCAAGTAAGTTATCTTCTCTCCAGGCCCGAAAATGGAAGCTTCTAGTTGCCTCTCAAGCAGGGAGTTACACGTTGGGGACCAGCACAAGTGGCTTCTGCTTCCAAAACCACAATTAGAATGAAATGCCTCAACAGGAAAACCTAAAGTAAAACCATAAACCCCCATCTTACAAAAATCAAAGCCTGTCCAGAAAGGAAATAGTTTTTTCCACCCACCATATAACTTAATTGATGTGAATCCATCCGTCGAATCAGACAAGCTCATCTGGAAGGAGGAAGAAAGGCTTACTTCCATTTCCAGCCTGAGACCTTGGCTACCACTTTGCCGGGTACCAGCTTGAGAACACCATGTGGTCTCGCCCTACGGAAAGGTTCACTATGCAAGCAGAGGAACAAAATTACCAGCAAACTAGCTCCTCTCTCTGAAAGCCACGTGTACTAGCTGTCAGAGAAGGGATAACACCCAGCTCAGATGCTGAAAGGAAGGTACTCATAAAGCAAACAGGGGTTAGAGATCAAGGAGACACAAGCACACTGCTAAGTGACTGGACCTGGACCCCTGAAGTTATTGAACCATAAACCAGAGGTAAGCAGAATAAAGGCTACCCAACAATGTTCATGCCCTAATCCCTGGAACCTCTGAATGTTGTTGTTGTTGTTATGTGCGTGGAGTCGGTTCCGACTCATAGAGACCCTGTACAGGGTTTCCCGAGGCTGTAAATCTTTATGGGAGCAGAAAACCTCATCTTTCTCCCACGGAACAGCTGGTAGTTTTGAACTGCTGACCTTGCGGTTCCCAGCCCGATTCGTAACCACTATGCTACCAGAGCCCCTTGGAACCTCTGAATTGTTGTTGTTAAGTGCCGTCGAGTCGGTTCCGACCGACCCATATCGACCCTGTACGGGGTTTCCAAGGGTGTAAATCCTTACGGGAGTAGAAAGCCTCATCTTTCTCCCGCGGAGTGGCTGGTAGTTTCGAACCGATGACCTAAAGGTTCACAGCCCGATTCGTAACCACTACGCTACCAGAGCTCCTTGGAACCTCTGAATAGTTTTCTTTAAATGTTAACTATCCAATATTCTGGTGCTATCTGACAGTGCTCCACTGTTATTCATAAGGTTTCCACTGACTAAATAATGCTAAAATTGTCCGTCTCTTCTTCTTCTTAGTCTGCCTTTGTCTGGAAGCTCAGCTGAAACCTGTCCACCATGAGTGACCCTGCTGGTATATAAAATACTGATGGCAAAGCTTCCGGAACCACAGCAACACCACAGTACAGCAAACCGACAGACAAGTGGTGGAGGTAAAGGAACCTTTATAGCCATGATTAAGTTAAGAACCTTGAGGTAGGTCGATTATCCTGGAAGACTGATTGGCGAGCCCAGTGCAATCCCTTGCAAGAGTAAGACTCAGAGAAGGAGATGTGGCAATAGAACCAGGGGTCAGAGAAAGATCTTTGAAGACGCTATGGTGCTGGCTTGGAAGACGGAGGAAGGAGCCATGTGATAAGGAATGCAGGTCATGGTGACCTCAAGCATGGCAGGTGACCTCTAGAAGGTGTTAAAGACAAGGAAATGGAGTCTTCTCTAGAGTCTCCAGATGGAACAGCATGTTTTAAGTTGTGCTGTTTGTGGTAATTTGTTACAGCAGTAACTATGAAACTGCTGCCAAGCTGCTGTGGAGTTCTGGTGTGACGCTGGACTGATAAGTCAGTTTGAATTGCAAGGTTGGCGGTTCAAGCTCACCAGGTGCTCCTTGGAAACCCTATACAGGGTCGCTATGGGTCGGAACCGACTCGACGGCACGTAACAACAACAACCACGCTGCTGTAGCCCATTCTCAAACCAAGTGAACCCTAGCAATAAGATTATCCTTGATCAGGATCCACTGTTCATGAGGGACGGAACTGTTGGTTCATGTGCGACTCCTATAAACCATTGTGGCCTGGCCTGGGGACTTCATTGTTGACTCAGCCCCACCCCATGGTACCCCACTCTGTTCTCGGGGGTGCACAGCATAGGTGGTGTGAATGTTAATTGGCATCAAGTAGATTTTGACTCACACTGAATCCTTGTGACCCCATGGGATTATGGCATTGTGGGTTAATGCGCCAGATGGCAAAGCCATTTGAACTGCAAGGCTGGCGGTTCAAGCTCACTGGCTGCTCCTCAGAAACCCTATATAGGGTCGCTATGGGTTGGAACCGACTCAACAGCACTTAACAACAACAACAAATCTTTCGGGGAGCAGATTGCTAGATCTTTCAACTGCAGAGCCGCTGGATAGTTTTGAACTGCTAACCTTTCCATTAACAGGCAACCACTTAACCATTTGTACCAGTTAGGCTCCTTATGGCAGAGGTTGTTGTTGTTGTTGCTGTTGAGTGCCGTCAAGTCAGTTTCGACCCATAGCAACCCTGTATAGGGTTTCCAAGGAGCAGCTAGTGAGCTTGAACCGCCAACCCTGCAATGCAAACCAGCTTTTGCAGCCCAGTGCATTAACCCACAGCGCCACACCAGGACTCCCTTGGCAGAGGTGGGCCCATTTCTCTCCCATGGTAGGTCACCCATGATGCACATTGGTTTGTGGGTTACTGTCTGTGCTTTGGACCTCCAGGGCTCTCCTCGAACCAGGGAGAACTCTGGCAAACAAATTCTTTTTTAGGCTTATCTGGTGTCGTTTTTACTGTGCCTTAGGCAGGAGTGTAGGCCATGAGGGCTGGAGAAAGCACCCACAGTCCCCCAGGGAGGGACATTTGGGCCTTTGAATTGTTTGTACCCGACAGAGATGGGCAGGTGGCTCCAGAAAACCAAGAACGTCACCTCCAACTGCTTCCCTTTAGTGTCCTTAGACACTTCCTCTTCGGAGTGAGTCCTTCCAGACCCTCGCTGCATGCCCTCTTCATTCCTGTGGATGACACTGGGGAGTACGCCTTCGTTAGTTCCCTTGCCTCAACATCTGGATGCCCTTGGCCAGATGACAGGTGACGCCTGCTCCCCAGATTCAGTTTTCCAGACTCTGTCTGGGTCGGGAGTCAGGTGGGCTCTGCTGGGGCCTGCTGCCATCAATTGAAGTCACGAGGAATAGAAAGTCTTATCTTGAGTCTGGGTTCAAGCCATACCCACCAGCCTAGTTTAGCAGCAGGCCTGTGCTCTGCAGTCAAAGGGTGATAGCAGCAGTTTTGATTCCATCTGGTTTTGTGTGTGTCAATTCCTGCATTGGTCTGAACCTGAAGGGGAGAATGGTCATGACCGATTCCCGCCCGCCCCACCCCCCAATCTCTAACCCATAAAAGCAGAAGCGTAATGACAGCTTCTCGGCTGCTAGATGAAGGAATGGTGGCTTGAATCCAGTCAGGTGCCTCAGAAGAAAAGCTTCTTCTGAAACATCTGTCACTGGAAATCCCATGGTGCAGAGTTCTACTCTGACACACACAGGTTCGCCCTGAGTCAGAATTGACTTGACGCTTAACATAAACATCTCCCACTTGTGTGTGCAGGAAATGTCAGGGTCTCTGCTGTTGGCCACCACATTCCACCTGAGACCTGGTTTTCGGCAGTCTAACTATCTAACTGCTGAGGAAGTAGGCGTGCACCTGTCTCCAGCAGGTGTTGGGTCAGGTGGGTGTGCTGCCCAGTCCCCTGGGAAAGGCCAGGGAAGCAGACCCATTTCACATGTGTTTAAACAGGAACGACAGCCGCCTCTAGCCACCTTTAGATATGGTATCAGTTCCTGGAATAAAACTCAGCCATCACAGGTCATGTGAAGCACAGCTCTTCATTCAGGGTGTCCCCATGAGGAAAGGAAAGATGCAGAGAAGAGGCTGAATGATACAGGTTAGACACATAATTGGTGTCTTAGGGGAGCAGGAAGCCAGGGTCCCCAGAGCTACAGAACCTCTTGCCCTGGTCTGGTCTCTAGAGAAAATTCAAAGATGGGGCTGAGGTTCAAAGTCTGGCCCACCCCACCACATCAATTGGGCTTCTACCATGTCCTGTCCACTGTTTCTCCACAAATACCAAACAATGTCAGCATGGCCGTTTCAGGCTGAACAGGTAAACTGGAGGAGACTGTCTATATACCTGCCTAGTCACCAGTAGTGCCTAGTAGACTAGTGTGGTGCTGTAGGATCAACACTGGACTTTGAATGACACAGTCGACAGTTCAAACCCACCAGCTGCTCCTCGGGTTCCCCATATAGGGGAATGAGTCAAAACCCACTCAACGGAACTTAACAACAACGTCGGTCACCAGTAGAGATTTCAAATGTTGCAACCTGAAACGAAACACTCACAAATTGCTTGGAGACCTCAAGAGAAACTTGAGAAGCAAATAAACAAAAAAGACAAACAGAGCAAATAGCTACACCTTTCATTTTCCATAAAATGTAAACAGTCTGGAAAAATTAAACAGAAGAAACATAATGTTGCGTGCTTTCCAGCACCTGAGAGTTGAAATGAGCATGAAACATTTCAGCTGGGCTCCTCTAGGAATGCTATCTGGTCAATAGTGGGCCCTGATGTGGCGTTGTAGAATAAGCATTGGACTGCAAGGTCGGTTTGAACCACGAGGTTGTCCGTTCAAAACTCACTAACTCTGCCTCAGAAACCCTATACAGGGTCACTATGAGTTGGAACTGACCCCCCAGCACTTAACAACCACAGTGGTGGGCAGAATTCCCACACCCTAAAAGGTGTTCAGTACATTTTATTTGACTTGAATCAAAAGATGCAAGATGTTGGTGTACTTCTTAATCAACGAATGTCAGTAAAAGGTTTCTGGGACAAATAAATCCCCTGACTTATCCCCACTGGTTTGAAAGCAGAACAAACAGGTCCAGACCTAATTCCAGGGTGAGATGGCTCAAGTCCTCACCAAAGCCTAAGGGCAGGGACTCCAGAAAGAGGCAAGCTGCCGAAGCCTCTTCCGCTCTGGCAATGGAAACCACCAAATGCCTTCTTGTCAACAAGGCAAAAAAGGGTGGCCCTCAGCAAGCATGTCGTCAGTTGGGTGTTGCTTTTCTCATTATAAAATCACCATTGAGAGTCGAGCCAAACAACAGGCTTTATCATCTGAAAAGCGAGTCCTCATTCAGTCCATTCCGACGACCTGTCAGAGTAAACCGTGCCCCATACGGTCTTCAATAGCAGTGATTTTTCAGAAGCAGATTTCCAGGGTTTTCTTCCAAGTACCCTGGGTGACCTTGAACCTCCAACCTTTCCATTAGCAGTTGAGAATGCTAACCATTTGTACCGCCCAAGGGCTCCAGTATTCCCTTTAGTTCCTTTTAATCTGGCATGTAAGAATCATAGTACAATAGATTATTGGTATTTCTGAGAGCTGTGTCCCAAGACCTCCACAACCCCCAGGTTTATAAGCACCCCTATACCACAGCTGAAAAGTGTACGTCCTGCTAGTTAAAAGACCTGCCCTCCCCCTCAAACATCTGTCTCACAGAATGTTTTTCATGATCTTAGCAAAAACTACAAATTGTCACATGACAGGATTTCCATTTCCTGTGAAACTACAAATGCCATGGCCTCATATACGAGCTAAGCCCAAAAATATTGCTACTCGGGTTCCAGCTCCTACACGCCTGGGTTTATTCCAAGCAAAGCATGTTTTAACTATGTCTCTGTGATCTGTGGACGGCCGAGGACAAGGTTTCTCAGTAACATACTTGTCTTCGTCTCTTTGTTGTTGTTGTTAAGTGCCGTCAAGTCAGTTCTGACTCACAGCACCCCTGTCTAGGATTTCTGAGGAGTATCTGGTGGGTTCAGCGCTTATCATCTAGTGCTTACCCTATAGTCTCCTTTTTGTTGTTAAATGCCTCCTTGGGATGCCTTTAAAAATTTCTTTAAAAAGGTACAAAGCAGTGGCTCCCAAGGGGATCTGCTGAGCTAGTTAAATTCAAGGCAGAGAGGTCAGCTCACAAAACTATGGTGATTGTTTTTTGAGATTCCAAAAGGGTAATTTTGATAGATTTTTCTCAAAGGACACAGGACAATCACAAGGACTTATTATGAAGAAGTTTTAAGAAAATTGAAAACTGTGTTGGTGAATAAAAGGCTAGGAAAGTTGCAATGAGGAATTTTTTCATCATGATAATGCACCTGTTCTTTCTTTGAGGGTAGCAAGGGCTATCCTAAGAGAATTGTATCGGGAAAGCTTTCCCCATCCACCCTAGAGCCCTGATCTTGTCCCCGCAGAATTCTTTTTGTTCTCCAAACTCAAAGAATACTGAAGTGAAATATGATTTGAGGATGCTCAAACTGTTGTTCTGACGTGGTGTGAATCAAAGAGCACAGACTTCTTCAGGGAATGGTTAGAGAGATGGAGATCCTGCCTTCAGATGTGCAGAGCTCCTGGTGGAGGAGATGCTGAGAAACAACAGCTTCACAGTTCAACACTTTTATTGAGGGAAGAGTGCTACGATTTTGTAGGAATACTTTCCGACTTATCCTTTGTATGAAAGTGCAATTCCCCTAAGGCAACCCTGCTTCACCCAGAGTGGATTCAATCACATGACTGACACAATCCTGGGATAAACGAGGGCTTCCCAAGAGATTTGAGTCACGTTTTCCTGGACATCTGAAGCCATCACTGAGGCAGGAGATAATGGCTAAAGAAAATTATGGAAACTTTGGTAACAATGAAAACCCTAGTGCTTTCTCAACAAACATGCTGATCCCTGTCATACAGTCATTGTTTTCTTGTTTTGTTTTACAAGAAAGACTCCTATTCGGTTTAAATACTTACATCATTTTCTAAAAAATTAAACATGCTTCTTTCAGCCAACTCCTTTGACTCTTCAAATTTTTCTACCGCTTGTCTGACTTCTTCATCTGGTATCTTACCTACTCGCTTCTTTTTATAATCGTAATCCAGACGTCGGCCTTCCAGCTTTTTCAGGTGGTGCTAAAAGGAAAAAGGAAGCTTCTCAGAGAACTGCAACACTCAAACTGCGACATGAAGATGCCTTCGTTATACCTAAGAAAAGAGTCACTGATTTTGTTCGGCCTCAGTCTAGCAGGCAGGAAAGAGCCCATTATTCATTTCTGTTGTATGCACCTCAGCACTTGGAGGCTCCCTGTAGGTACTCCTGCAATACTTGTGGTGCCTGTACACATGAATGGATGGATGGATGGATGGATGGATGGATGGATGGATGGATGAGTACCCATTCAGTGATTGGATGGAACATAAGGATACAGTATCTGTGCTCGGATTGCATTTTCCAAATCTCTTTGTGTTGTTGTTAAGTGCCGTCAATTCAGTTCTGGGTTACAGCGACATTTTATAGGGTTTCTGAGACGCGGCTGTTGAGTTTGAACCACCGACCTTGTGCTTAATCCTACAGCACCACACCAATAAAGATCCTACAAAGTTCTTTGTAGCATCCTTTATTTCAGCTCTGCTACAGGATAATGCACAGGACTAAAAGGTCGGTTTGAACTGGAAGGTTAGTGGTTCAAGTCTACCAACTGCTTGTCAGAAACCTATACAGGGTCGCTATGAGTTGGAACCAACTCAATGACGCTCAACAACAACAACAATGTCAAGATCATCTCTAACCAGATCGCCTTTCACAAACATAGGGACATTTCTCTTGTACGTATCATTATCTGCAAAGTAGCACAGTAAGAAACACAAATTCTCAGGACTCCCTCGCATAGGTATGTATCTTCCTAAGAGTTTCCCAACAAGTATAGCGTATGCGGAATCAAATGCTATTCATGTATGTCATGCATGCAGAGGAGAGAGACTCACAGGTAAAATGACTTGGTGACATTTCTGAAAAACCCTAACAGCCCTTTAACCAGGAGAGCGGCCCATTCCTGGGATAAGCTACTTAAGTAAGTTCACCAACACCACTGGTGTGTAAACAGAGGGAAGCCCATATCTGAAACACTGTAGAGGGGGTACCTGTACCCAACAATGGAGGGGTCTCTAATCGCTTGTGATTGTAATCCATGGAAAATAGCTAATATCTAAAGTGCACATGAAAACGGACTGCTCTCCTGAAGCATGCACGTAACTTGTGCTGTTATTTTAGTGGGAAGCATTGCTGTTAAGGACAGGTTGCATTCAGTGAATCTGCAGCACAAAGACTCTTTAAAGTGTTCAAGAGCAAGGATATCAGCTTGAGGACTGAGGTGCACCTGACCTAAGCCATGGTATTTTCAATAACCTCATATGCATGCAAAAGTTGGACAGCGAATAAGGAAGACTGTAGAAGAATTGATGCATTTGAGTTATGGTGTTGGAGGAGAATATTGAAAGCACAATGGACTGCCAAAAGAACAAACAAATCTGGATTGGAAGAAGTATAATCAGAATGTTCATTGGAAGCCAGGATGGCCAGACTTTATCTCTCATACTTCAGATATATTATCAGGAAGGACTTGACCCTGGCGAAGGTCATCATGCTGAGTGAGGTGGAGGGTCAGAGAGAAAAGAGGAAAACCCCCAGCAAGATGGACTGGCACAGTGGCAGCACCATGGGCTCACATGTGGTAACAACTGTGAGGTTGGCGCAGGACTGGGCAGTGTTTCATTCTGTTGTGCATAGAGTGGCTATGAGTTGGTACTGACTCGATGTCACCTAGCAACAACACTGCTTCTAACATTCGTGATGACGAGTGAAAAGGAGCATCCCTCTAATATGAAGAAGCTTCCAAAAATTGGTGGGAAATAGAATTGAAAGATAATGATATTTTTCCACAAGATTTTTTAAATCTCCCTTGTATGTTCTGTGACTTTGGGCAAGTCCCTAAATGCCTTTACACCTTCAATGTGTCTGAAAAATGGGGATGAGGGTGGCTTGTCTGCTTACCAATGGATGAAGAAATGTTTGTCAAAGGCCCTTAACGCCATAAAAGCCTGTTAGATGTCAGTCAGTCTGTACACTAAATGAACTGGCTTTCCAACCCAGACTGCGGAGCCACACAGGATAGCTACAACTATGAAAGGCTTTCTGGATCTTAGACTCTTACTTCTTGACCATCTATATCATTGAAGTTTTAATTCGTAGGGTTTCCATACTAAACACCAAGTGTTCCTGGGTGATGCATACAGTTATCATTCTTGGCTACTGACTGAAAGGTTGCAGGTTGAAGCCCCCCAGAGGCATCTTGCAAGAAAGCCCAGGAAATCTCCTTTAAAAACCAACTAATGAAAATGCTCTGGAGAAGGTTAAAAAAGTTAAAAAAAAAACAAAAAAAACAAATGTTGGTGAGGATGTGGAGAGACTGGGACCCTCCTTGCTAATTGGACTGTAAAATGTGCAACCACCATGGAAAACAGCACGGGGCTTTCTCCAAAAGTTGGAAATAGAAATATCACATGACCCAACAATCCCTCTACCATATGACCCAGTATATCCTCAAGAAACAAGAGCCATGACATGTATGAATAGCTACACATCCATGTTCACTGTAGCACTATTCACAATAAGCAAAAAGATGGAGACAACCTAAATGCCCATCAAGAGAAGTATATTTAATACTCCACAACACTGAAGAATAATGCTGAACCTGCAAAACACCTCACAACACGGATGAACCTGGAGGACATTATGCTGAGTGAAATGAGTCGATCACAAAAGGACAAATGTTACACGTGACCACTGTTGTAAAAAGTTCAGATAAGGTTTTCTTGATACAAGAAACATCCTGTGATGGTTATTGAGAGAAGAGTAGGAGGGGAATTATTCACAGACGAGAGGATAGACATATATGGGTGACCAGGCAGGCAACGTACAACAAGAGGGAGGTGGGCAGAGGAAAAATGGCAGGAGATGCCGTGTGGAAAGCAAAAATTGAAGTGAACAGAGGTAAATATCGTTAACCAACGGCACAAGGAGCTCTGGTAGCGTAGTGGTTACGAATCGGACTGTGAACCTTAAGAACCTTAAGGTCAGCGGTTCGAAACTATCAGCCGCTCCGCGGGAGAAAGATGAGGCTTTCTACTCCCGTAAAGATTTACACCCTCGGAAACCCTGTACAGGGTCGCTATGAGTCGGAACCGACTTGACGGCACTTAACAACAACAACAACAACGGCACAAGGAAGGAACTGTACTTTTTGTACTGAAAAAGTCTATGATTTGTTAAATATAAAACGGATCTACTCTGTACATCTTTACTCAATTCACAATAAAACGTTTTAAAAGCAAGAAATAAGAGAAGACCATACAGAGCACAGTTTGACTGTGACACTCACAGGGTGGTCATGCATCAGAAGGAACTCGATGACAACTGTGTGCCACACACATGAACACACACAAAGATATGAGTGTAAGCCTAAAAGAACTACTAGGGTTACAGTTCATACATGCATGCATTTATTCCAAACAAAACGTATTTAACCACCTTTGCTAAGTGCTGTCAAGTCAGTTCAACCCATAGTGATCCTGTGTAGGGTTTCCGGGGAGCAGCCAATGAGCTTGAACCGCTGACTTTGCAATTCCAATGGCTTTGCAGTCTGGCGCATTAACCCACAGCACTACACCAGGACTCCCTGTGAACTGCAGATGGCTGCAAACAAGTTTCTCTTAGTAATACACTTTTCTTCATCTCAATAGGGTGCCTTCATATAAAAGGTCCAATCAAATCAGTGGCTTCCAAGGGGAGCTGCTGGTCCAGTTACATTCAGGGGATAAAAGTCAGATCAGAAGGTTATGGTGACTGTTTGGGGGGATCCCAGAAGGGTACTACTGATAGATTATCTCAAAGGACAAAAGACAATCACAGGAAGTTATTAGAACGAAGTTTTCCGAGAACTGTACTGTAGAGAAAAAGGAAGAAGACTGCACTCAGGAATTTTCTTCTCTATCATCATAACACACCGGCTCATTCTTCTGGGGTAGCAAGGGCTCATTCTTCTGGGGTAGAATGGCATTGGGAAACCTTTCCCCATCCACTCCTAGAGCTCTGGTCTTCTTTCTGTTCCCAAAACTCAAAGAACATTTCAAAGGAACCCAATTTGAGTCCCTAGAGCATGGGTGGGGAATGTGCAGCCAGCCCCCAGGCCATAGAGGGTCCAAGGACATTTGGTCTGGCCCTGCCAAGGCAATCACAGTTCCAGCCATCACATTGCTGTTGTTGTTGTTGTTAAGTGCCATACAGCCATTTCCAACTCCACCCTGTAAAGGGTTTCCGAGGAGCAGCTGGTGGGTTTGAACTGCCAACCTTGTGGTTTGCAGTCCAGTGCTGATCCTACAGCGCCACACCAGAAGTACTGCCATCACATTAGGTGTGAGTTAATTAAATTTCTGACCAAATACAGCAGGCTAATTTTGATGTTGATAATTTTGCATGGCCCACAAATGATGTTATAAACTTTGGCAAAAAACAAAACCGGGTTCCCCACTCCTGCCTTTGTTGTTGTGCTGCTGAGTGGGTTCCGACTCCTAAGGACCTTGTACAGGGTTTCTAAGGAGCAGAGGCGAGTTTGAACCAGTTCAAACCAAGCTTGTGGTCCAGTGCTTATCCTACAGTGCCACACCGCCACACTGCCTGCCCTACAGAATGCCCTAACTGCCATTTTGTTGTAAATCAGAGAGCTCAGAACTCCTTAGGGGAGGACTGCTATTGTCGTTAAGTGCCTTCAACTTATGAGTGGGAACCAACTTGAAGGCAATTGTTGGTATGTCAACCCTGTATAGGGTTC